GTCATATAACATCTAAGTCTAATAAACCGTTATGACTTTAAATATCCGGAAGTCCACAAACTGCAACCGAAACGCGACTAAACTTCTCAGCTTTTTCATCTCTGAACTTCGAAAAACATCAAGGATCAGGTAGGAATCGAAACCACGACCCGTGATTACTATAATTTACTACTGTTATACCAACGAGCTCCTTCATCGTGTTGTGATTCTACATTTGAAACCGTTAAATTTCTCTATGTGAATATAAAAGCAGGACGATGCCTGAGGAACAGTGACTGATGAGTAATATATCATACGCATATATTAATTAACCAATTCGTCTTGACGTAGGAACTATATGTCCGTCGCAATTTGTCTATGTTCCAGAGTGAAATATGATGTAAATAATTATTCATAGGATCGGAACAGAGAGATTTTTTACCTCTCATTTAATAAGACGTAAGACGCACTTGATATGTATTTTAATACACAAGTGTAAAGGTTGAAATTACATGCGCGAGAGGTGCATGTATCAATAAGTTGAAAAAAATCGACGATGACGAGTAGGACGCGGCAGCTCAATCGATCAGAGCACCAGCACGGAACGCTGTTGTTGCCGATTCAACACCTGCCCGTGTCGTTAATTTTTACATTTATAAACATTTTTTAATTCATATAGCGCCATCATCTGCAATAAGATGTGAAAAATATAAAAGTTTTCATGTATTCTTACTTAAAAACTAAAATTATCAATTTATGTGACTGTATACTTTTATGTGATTTAAATTGCTTATCTCTGTAGCTCAACAAACAAACACGAGTTGTCCTGGGTTCAATTTCTTGTCAAATAAATAAATAATAAACGAGAAATTAATTAACTAATTTATAATAATTAAATGATATTATGCTAAATATCGAGCAAGGTTAATCGTTTCTGATAAATCGACGAGTCGATTACAAAAGAACGTCGCATAACATCACAAAGCGTGTCTGTTTAAATTAATTCGCCTAATGACTAATTAATGATATTAATGATCTTGCGCTAGCCAAGAAACGGGTGGAGATTCGCGCGCGTTGAACTCTTTTGAAAGGTTAGCATAAAAATAAAGCCGCTTGTAATTCAATATTTCCTGTTCATTACCACCAGGAATAAATTACAATTTTATTCAGTCAATATCTCAATTTCACAATATATTCTTATTAAATATTCTCATAAGCTTTCATAATACTGGTGAACATTTTTAGCTCATAAATGTTTAATTAAATTTAAAATGTATTTTTGTAAATGTTTTAAATCTATAACAGAAACCATTCGAGGCTTTAACTATAACATTTTAAATATTTATTTTTTAGTGCACAAAAAATAATCATGATATTTATATAAGTTAGGATGATTATACGCGCTTAGTATAACTTACTTAAGGTAAGTACAAGAAGAGTTCATTGCCAGTTTTTCCTTTTTATGGCCTTCAATTGACAAACTCACGTAAGTTACTTTGGTTTTAAAATTTAGTCGTATTAACGTTGTAAGTGTACTCAGTTACTTAAATGAATAAATAATGTTTACTACAGATAAATTGTCATCTTAGTATACAGACAAACAGTATTTTCCTCCTACGTTAATTGTTTTTTCTTCAACACTTACTGAGAACTCGTAAAATGGCAGAGCAGAACGCAGCATGGCGCGGGTTTTGCCACATAATTTAATACACACATACACAAATACGGAAACGCGTTGAATTCGCGTAAATGCGTCTTCGCAATAAATCGTATTGTCCAATTAAGCGTATAAAGGGTTCGTCGCGTTGCGTAATTTTTCATTTTGCGATATTTATTGATGCGCTTTTGTTATTTGTATATTCGTTCCGTTAGTGATTAATATCCAGGTTTTACAATTTTATATAATGTACTTATATTGTTGTAAAACTAAAATTTCCTATACCTCGTTTAAAATCACAATAAAACATGGAATGTAGGAATGATAAGGAATATTTGAATTTTAAAGATTTCTCACTGGTATTGTATAATTTACAAATGTATTTTGTATTAAAAAATCCAATCTTAATATGTAAGTTTTCAGTTTTAAGGTTACACTGTATGAGAGGTATATTAAGAGATTTAAAAATTTTTGATTACGTATAGGACACAGTAGCTCAAAAAACAGCAGCGCGGAACGTCGAACGGTGAATTTCAGTGCTGAAAATTCTGGAATTTCTTTTAATAGATATACATATTTAAATAAAACACTTGCCGTGCCGTGACCACGGCTGCTGCAAAGCATCCGAAACGTCGGGCCGAAGTTAAAAATCATTTTCAAATAAGTTTAACTAATATATCGCGTTTTAAACCGTTATAGTGTTTTATTTAAATGTGTACTACTCGCGTAAACTATAGACAGTATTTAGATATACATATTTCATACTGTCTTTAGTTTACGCGAGTAGTACACATTTAAATAAAACACTTTAACGGTTTAAAACGTCTCCTTGTGATCACGGCTGCTGCAAAGCATCCGAAACGTCGGGCCGAAGTTAAAAATCATTTCCAAATAAGTTTAACTAATATATCGCGTTTTAAACCGTTAAAGTGTTTTATTTAAAAGATATATTTCACTTGTAGAGTGTTTCGTAATTATTTAAAAAAGCTGTTTTTACTCTCTAATTGTATCTTCTATTTAAAAAATGAGGCAAAACTAAGATTATTGATGGATATTTTTAAGAGAATGAATAGCTTACTAATAAAAGCTATTCATCGAATAACTATCACCATAAATCAATAACCTCTTGACCCCAGCTACCCCCAGTAACCCCTGCTCGTAAAACTGGTTTGAGCACAGTATTGCACGTTTCTACCATACATTGTCCTTTTTGCGGCAAGTGCACTGACCTGATGCCTGTTTGTTTAAATATTTGTTTGCGTGAATAATGTACTTTTGTACACTTTGCTTGTCTTCGGTCTCTCAATATGCGTAGAATTGGTATCACTGCTTCGCCGTGTGTTTGAACTCCACCAATTTTGGCAATTTTATAAGTCTCGCTAAAAAGATTTTTTAGCTTAAATATATTATTTTGATTGAGAAAATGTAATTTACCAATCTAAATAATTTTAAGATTTGTTAGGTATTACTTAAAATTTAAAAATTACATATTTTTGATAACTTTAATTTTTCTTACATGTTATCTAAACATATATTTTTTTATATGTTATCTAAACATATATTTTTTTATATGTTATCTAAATATATTTTTTTGCATGTATCGATAAGTTGAAAAAATTCGTCGATGAGGTGTAGGACTCGGTAGCTCAATTGGTAGAGCAAGAGCACGGAACGCTGACGATGCCGATTCGAGTCCTGCCCGAGTACTAAAATATTTCAATTTATTTTTGGTTTTTAAAATTACATATTTTCCTAAGTAGAAACGCATTTGAAACTGAAGTACCTACTAAAAGAGTTTTGTAAATGTTTACAAAAACTTCCCAGTAATTCTATATATGCACATCTCCAATCATACTTTGATAAATCATAAGATTAAAATATACTTAAAAGATTACTCGAAGGGACACCCCTTAAATTAATTTAACGCCATAAATTTTAAGTACGGTATAATAAATCGCACTGACCACCCATTCAGTGCCGGAATTCAATAAATGAATCCAGAATTCTGCGGGCGGTTCAGCGTTTTGCTGAAGCAAGATAATTGTCATAATTTGACGTATTACATACTTTAAAAGACCGGGAAAGATAAAAATACTTTGGACTTCCAACTTAATAAATTTGTAAAATACAGTTATACATATTTTTAACAATAACTACTAATTACAATAAGTGCGTATTGAGGCCTAAATAAAATCTCGCGAGTGTTGCTTCAATATTAAGGTTTACAAAAATCTATTATCAAGGGTGGGACACTGCAGCTTAATTTTTAGACAATATTATGCAGTGTACGTGCGTTCGTATCCTGTTTGTATCATCATTTATTTCTGAAATGACTGTTGCCTAAACAAGTCTCAATTACAAATATCCTTATAGTAGCGTATTAAAACAAAGTCGTTTAAATTTAAACCTTTTAACTTTTAGATACGGAGCGCAAAAACATCATGCCCATCAATTTAAAAACTCTCTCGTGTAATCCCTTATTTGTACTTAACCTTTAATCTGTCGTTAAATGGCTCATCGTCACGAATAGGATGCGACCAGATCCGCAATATTAAGGTCAGATGTGTTTTGACAGGTGGCGATTTAGCGCAGTCTAGACCCGTATAGACCAATTAATTTATTGCCCTTCAATGTTCCTCATATAACGGTTTGCATCCGTGTTTCGTCTTAATTATCATCTAGCTGATTTATTGAAACTGACTATCCGAGGGAGTAGATATTATAGCTAGAATATAACAAACATTTCAACTGTTAATATTTTCATTGTTGGGGACTACAATGCCTTAAAAACAATTAAAATGTTCCTAATTACGAAGTGATTTTGGGAAACTTATGTTATTGCCTATATGATTTATCTAACATGCTGGTCAGATGGCATGTTGGCAGATGTGTGGGGTAGTATTTTTATTCATTTTTTTTTTCTATGTCCCTCATCGCAGAGGACATTTAAGATTGTATCGTACTCGTGGGGCATGGGGCGAACACATTTCTGTGTCCGTTTCATTGATCCGTTCTTTTAGCGGGCAAGTAGTTGATCAGACTTCTGTGCCCTGCCCGACCAAATTTTTTATTTGTTTCCCTGGAATTCGAACCCAGGTCCTCTCGCGCACAACGCAAAGCTAGGCAATACGTTTAACCATTTGGCTACAGAGACGGTCGATTGTGCATAAAGATGTTTATATTACTGCTAGACTGAGGATGGAACACACGAACGTTGAGTCCTTATTAAACCGATTGAAAAATTAAAAAATCTAAACATAACTAATAATATATTAAACATTTTAAACTGCTAAAAACCTAAATAAACTAGAGTCTATGCCATTATGAAACTTTTTATATAAGTTTTTTTTGTTTCAGCTTCACCATGGACGCGATGCAGCCTGTATCTGTCCCGTGGCTTTCAGCTATTGTCCTACTCTGTTCTTTCTTCACCACACATACTCTTGATAATACGGTAAGTGGTTGTGTACTAGATTGTTTAATATATAATAGATGTTTTATCTATATCTAAATCTCAGAAATAAAAAATGTAATTAGCGGTTTTCGTGAGTTAAAGGCTATATGCAAGTTATTTCCGGATATAAAAGCCAAAAATCGGTTGACAGCGTAGCTTCAGATGCTTGTCTGTTCTCCTATCTTTAAAAAAAAGTTACTGTAAAGAAAGGTATCATATCTCAGCGATATACATTTGTGATCTTCTAGCTTTCCCTTAATAAAATTCGTACTAGCGATAAAGACACGAAAAATAATGTTCAATCCGAGATTTCATTTTGAAACTTATATCGAATGTTGAATTTTATTCTAAAATATCGTGTGCACACTTGCCCTTATTACCAAACGTAATTAATCGCGCTTAATAAAACTCGCCATTACTCAACACTATCAAGCATTGTGAAACACGCACTCGAGTATTATTTAACACATTACGGACACAAATAATTACTGTACTGTGCTCATTTACGTAAACTTCGGTGAGATGAGTTTCAAGGACAGTGTTTTGAGTAAGAAATCTTCTCTTTAAATACGTAATAATTTAGTAATGATAAAAAATTCTATTATGAGAAGTAGAATCGTCACCAAAACACAAAATAGATTCAAAATAAAATTATGTTTATATGTGTATCAAATTAGCCTAAGTTTACAAATAGGCCCAGATTGACGGGCCTTAATCTAGCCCCACTGCTGGGAATCAGGCTGTTAAGCACTTAAATAATTTAAATAAGTGTATATGGTTGTTTTTACGCTTAAGTCAAAATATATTTCTTGCGTAAATAAATGTTTTAAACCTTCAATCTTTCTACCTTGTTCTTGTAAAGAGTAAAGTGAGTAAAAAGTCATTTACATAGGTTAGCATAATATAAATGTATTTCAATATGTGTGGCATATAATCATGGAGTTTAAAGCATAGTATAATAGTACATAGAAATATTAATGCATATCGTTGTTTAGGATTAGAAAACTGGGTTTCTAATCATGAACAACCAATGAGGCAGATTCTTCAAAATCTGTTTCCGAAAATATTATATTTTGCTCAATGTCCCTAATCTTTGTTCTGTGTTACATAATATACGATTAGCAACGAGATTTTTTTATAAACATGACGTCAATGACACGCTTAAAATTCGTCATGTTGTTCCGACAAGATGTACAAATATAAACATGTCAGTTGAGACTTTACATCTTTATAACTCAGTTCCTAAAACATAGCAAAATTACGTTCATACATATTCATGATATATGATTAAAACGTGGTTAAAATCTTGTGCCAATATTTAATTAAAAAATATTACTTTACAAACTTTGCTATATTTCTTGGTGACAGACAAGCGTGTCCGTTACATGAAAGATGAAGTACCCCATAGAACTAAATAAGATGTGTAGTTGATCTATTTTGGTTTTAAATTACTGTTTGATTTGATATAATCAAACCTAATATATGTTTGAATAAAAAAATATACATTTATTAATCACAACTCTCTCTACACACTCTTTTTATATACACAATATCGATAAAAGTAAAGGTTTAATGGCGTTAAAGATATTTGTGTATGATAGAGGACAAACAGCTTGATGGTAGATGAAATATACCAGCCATATAACATCTAAACAAGATGCTTTGTCGACCCATTTTACCTTTGGATATGCGCAAATCCACAGAATAAAACCAAAACGTAATAAACTCTACGGATTTTTCATCTGTTAGCGACGGTTCGCGATTCCGGAATGTCGATATAACTACCACCCACTTAATATCCTGATTCCCAGACAATATGTTACAGAAAAAAATAAATTGATAAGAAAAATGTTGGACATAGTGGGCCTCGAATCTACGACCCGTTGATTAGCAATACATTAATACGGACTCGTAAAAAGTAGCAAAGTTTTATATTAGGACTTGGGTCATAGGTCCACATTATACATCGAATCGAATCTAAGTGTATAACCTCGGACCATGCGTAATCGACATCAGACGTTGATTACTTAATTCTAAAGAAAGTCTAACAGGCTATCAACTACCTCGTTCGTCTTATGGTAGCAATGTATAATAAACAACAAGTTCCTACCGGGTTTAACATGCTACAAAAAAGTACAATTTTTCTAAAATATACAATTGAATTTCGTTTGGGTAGTCGCCATTCAAGGATAAAAAAGGCATAGAGTGTAAATTTAAATAAAACATTTTAACGGTTTCAATTACGATATATATTCGTTAAACCTATTTGAAAATTATTTTAACTAAATACTGTCTATAGTTTACGCGAGTAGTACACATTGAAATAAAACACTTTAACGTGACGTCACACTAGGGAGGGGGGTCTCAGAAATGTGACCACCTGTGATAAGGAGGGGGGGGCTCAAAAAATCATGAAATTCGTGTGACGTACTTTATGGATGACCCCTTAACGGTTTAAAACGCGATATATTAGTTAAACTTATTTGTAACCGCTGCAAAGCATCCGAAATAAGTTTAACCAACTTTCTAATAAGTTTAACTAATATATCGCGTTTTAAACCGTTAAAGTGTTTTATTTAAATGTGTTCTACTCGCGTAAACTACAGACAGTATATAAAGTGTGAGTTCACTTTTCGGTTTCACTTTGTGTGTTACCGTATGTAAATGAAAAGAAGTCCACTGACCGTAATGTACAGATGATAGCTCGTCTCTGACAAAAAAATAAACAAGTGAAAATGCCACTCGCAAATATTATAAACACTGAGATCTCGCATAACCCTCGATGATGTCGATGACTGTCAGTTGGAGCCTCAAACGGCAAAAAATGTCTAATTTCGTACTTGAAGGAACACAGGTGTGCCTCGAAACTTGTATAAATGTAAATTAGGACTATAAATCTTACGCCATTTGGATTAAAATGAACGGAAAGGTAAAAGAAATTAATGCTATTTTTTATTTTATTGATTTACATATTGGTTCGGCGTGATCAATAATATTAGATAGAGATTGACTATTGTTATGTTCTCGACTTTTCATATTTTGTCGCATGGAGAAACCCTTTTCTTTTGAGCGTTACTAATCTGCTTTTTGTAAATTACCTTGTTAAATTGTTAAAATTGTAGCTCTAGATATAGCACTTTTGAAATAAATATCATAATGACCATTAACTTCAGACTATATTTTGTTTTAGTTATTTAAGTTTTATAACAGCTAAAGGGACTGTAAAAGCCTTCAACACGCGTTACGGCGTTAGGACTTGTAGTTCCCAAGTCCAATATAGTTTTACTTATTAAACTTCCTCTATACTTAATCATTAAACTAAACTAAAAGTTAGGTTACCGCATCTATCAGACACCACACGCAGACGTATGTTGAAGTTTTAGTTAGAGTTATGTTTACTAACAAAACAAAATTTTTGGACACAATGTTTTCGCTTCAGTCCTGGCATTGGTATCAGCTGACTATAATAACTACATTTAGAACTATGAATTCCTTAATTTCGTTTATATACGTCATGGGTTTTTATGAACTTGATCCCAAAGCGACCATGATTCATTCCGACAATTAATTATTCAAATCGTACAGCTGACATTTCGCAAAAAAAAAACAAGATAAAAACCTCTCGTAATTTTCCTGAACTGTATCTTTAGATGGAATGTTAGATTAGTTGTTACCAAAATATATTATAGCAATGAACCTAGACGTCACAGCCGAGTGTTGACCTTAGCTCAACCGTTAGCAGAATCATCAATCATTCTGGACACGTCTTTAGAAATTGTACACTCTTTCTTGGAAAGCGGAAAAAAGATATAGTGTATTGCGTAATGTTAAAAAAGTGTGTACTAACACTTTACGCCTTGAAAGAGCAAATCATTCATGGTATACGACAAGAAATGAAATAAATATAATGAAAATGTAATTGGCTGTCTATTTGCGGACATTGCGTGGTTTAAACCGTTAAGTCCGATTTATATAATACTATAAAACTTTGTTAACTTTCTTTAACGACAGTTTACAAAAACTTGACCACAATAATTAAATTAGTGTTTTCTAGATTTGAGCAACGTGAATTTTGTAAATTAGCAATTAATCGCAATTATAGCGTGTAATACAATATTTGTTAATCGAGTGACAGAATTCAATTGTAGACATTTTATATATAATCGAATCCAATGAAGTAAAATTCTGATAATTTCCTGCCATTAATAACTTAAGTCAAGGGCATGTATATGTATTCACTATACATCATCGTCATCATTCGAGGCTTGAAACCTTGGTTACATTTTGTTGAGCGAATAAATATAATATTAATTCGTGTTTTATAAAACAATCAATGGTTATTAAATCGAGTACTAAACGTCTAAATTTACTTTATAACGATTATATTTATTTAAGACTGACAAATTTTAACGGTTTGAAATGCAAAATATATTACATGACATGTTTACATGGATGCTTCACAGCAGCCGTGATCACGGGGTGAGGGGGTAGGTAACCGTAAAATGAGAGTTTTATTTAAATGTGTCGTGTAAACTACAGACTTCTCGTGTAGACTACAGACTTTGTCTGGCTATATAAACTTGGTAAAACGTTTTATAACTCTATCTCTTTTGATTTAAGAAGTTGTTACGTTTTCTGGTCTGACTTTTGCTACCTTCACGACGGCAACTGCGTTATCTCGAATCATAATGAAATCAAAGGCGGTGCAAGCGAGATTTACAAGTACTAGTGTCGTAACCCTGACCCGTTCGGTTTCCTCGTCTCGCCTGAGCCGCGCCCTTGACGCTGAGAAAGGTGGATTAAAACTGCGTAATGTGGTTTTATTCTTTAACTTATTTTAATCTTGCGTCGTGTTTTTAATTAAAATCGTCGCAAAGAAGTTATTTATTGCATAAAGCAATGTAAAGCGAATTCAAACGCCTAGGCGGATAGTTATCGTAAGGTTGTATATCTGCCATATGACATTTAAACAAGATGCGATCTATTTTGTTTTTGGATAT